GTAGATTATTATAATAAATTATTACAGATATTTCGAATTAAAATAACGCTTGTCCAACTGTGCAGCACATGTGTTTCATGTTCGTGTGTGTGTATCTTTGCGAGAGCTCTTCTGTTCAACTCGCACCATCGAATCCGGAGAAAGAGAGGAGAAACAAAGATTTGTTTTTTTTTTCCTTCTCTTTCTTGAGCTTGAGATCCATCAACCATGGCCACCGACGAACCCTCTCTCACTCGCTGGAGCTTTCTGGTAATTCCCCAACTCCAAGAAAATGCAGCCATATCTCTTTCAATGACTGTTTTCTTTTTGTTTTTTTCCCGAGAAAAATTTGGGGGAGAATCGAAGTCAAACTCTTCACTGTTACTCCAATTTAAGTTTTTTAACTAGAAAACAAAAAAAGAAAGAGATTTTCTTGAATCACCGGAGAAACCGAGGAATTCGCTTTAGACTTGTTTTGAATATTTAGAAATGAACAACGATTTCTCTAAAATCAAAGCAATGATCTTAGAGAATTGATCGATTTTGTTCAACAGAAAATCTATGTATTTATATTAGGAATTTAAAACGTTTTATGATGCCAAGTTTGGGAGGAAGAAGCTGCCTGAGGAATCACTCAACGGTCAACAAGAAGATGGATCATCGAGCAACAAGGAAGAGCCTTCCCAAGTCACCAATCCAGTTCAGGTCATCATTTTTGCCTTTCTTTAATTAGCTTTTCCTTGTTTCCTGGAATCATCTGTCAAATGCTTAGAGCAGTAATGGTGTGTGTATGTGTTCTATATCCTAAAATGATCAAAGTTTTGGGATTTCTGATTGTTGCAGGAGGGTAATAACACTAACACAGGCTTGGTCAATGGGATTCGCGAGAAGCCGTAAGATCTCTATGGTTTCTTTTTTAGCTTTCCTCCTTATATTTCCTTTGCATAGTAGTGAGGTTTTGTTTCTAGTGCTGGATCTGAGGAATGGTTTGCATTGATAAGACAGATTCATGGAGAAAACACTAATTGTGTCTTTGATTGTCTTTCTACAGGAAAAAGTCCATGTTTCCTCCGTTTGAATCTGCAGAAACCCGTGCTCTTGCTGAGAGTTTGAGTAGGTAAGTCATTTGTGGGTGATGTACTGATACATTTTTGCTCTTTGTTTTTGATAAATTGGTGTGTTTCATGGTTTATTGGGAATCCTTGTGTCAGGGATATCATCCGCGGGAATCCAAATATCAAGTGGGAAAGCATCAAGGGTTTGGAGAATGCGAAACGGTTGCTGAAAGAAGCTGTGGTGATGCCTATAAAATACCCAACGTATGTCCTTCAATGCTATCTAAGCCTTGATGCCAATGTCTATAACTTCCATTTTCTTTTGGTGCTTGAATCTCAACTTCTGATTTTCAGGTACTTCAATGGTCTACTATCTCCATGGAAAGGAATCCTTCTTTTTGGTCCACCTGGTACTGGAAAGGTATGATGATTCTATCTCGATGGTCCAAACCAAAATGATTATCATTTAAATCAGATTTATGATAGTGGCATTTGTCTTTTACAGACAATGCTTGCAAAGGCTGTTGCGACAGAGTGCAATACAACATTCTTCAATATCTCAGCCTCGTCTGTTGTCAGCAAATGGAGAGGTGAAGCCTCCTTCATCTTAATTATTTACTCTGAAACAGAAAACATTGCAGTCTTTTTTGTCTTAATTAAGGTGTATGATGTCTTTCAGGTGATTCTGAGAAGTTGATAAGAGTGCTGTTCGATCTAGCTAGACATCATGCACCTTCGACGATATTTCTTGATGAAATCGACGCGATCATAAGCCAACGTGGTGGCGAAGGCCGCAGTGAACATGAAGCAAGCAGGCGTCTCAAAACTGAGCTGCTCATTCAGGTAAAATGCTCAGGAGACGATCTTGTCTCACAATGATCATCATCTTGCCAGTCCATTAGTAACAAACTGATGGTTTTCGGGTTTAAAATTTTGCAGATGGATGGGCTACAGAAAACGAATGAGCTCGTATTTGTTTTAGCAGCAACAAATCTCCCCTGGGAACTAGATGCAGCTATGCTCCGGCGTCTAGAGAAAAGAGTATCCTTTTTGTTTTTTTCTTATCGAACAAGAATGCTTCTTTTATGATCTCCCTTTGTTTTGGCCTCAGCTAGTGAAATCTTTAGATACTTGTACCTTTACCGGATCCGGAAGCAAGAAGAGGAATGTTCGAGGAGCTCTTGCCGTCACAACCGGGAGATGAGCCATTGCCTCATGATGTGCTGGTTGAGAAATCTGAGGGTTACTCTGGTTCAGACATCAGAATACTTTGTAAGGAAGCTGCAATGCAACCATTGAGACGCACATTGGCTATATTGGAAGACACAGAAGAACTGGTGCCTGAAGATGGTAAAATCTCCATCATTGGCATAGTTCTTCTGGGAAAATCTGTACTGTTTATAACTTTTATTGAAAAAAACTGCAGAAATTTTGACATAATCAGTTGTCTTTATTTTTCTGGTTGCAGAGTTGCCAAAAGTGGGACCAATCCTACCGGAAGACATTGATCGAGCTCTAAGCAATACTCGACCATCGGCTCATCTGCACGCCCATCTCTACGACAAGTTCAATGATGATTATGGTAGCCAAATTCTCAAGTAGAAAGGATGGAATATATACATCTAGAACTTGATCATTATTTGTATGGAAGCATACAGAATTTGGCCCCATCAAGGACGTATGTTATTATTGGTCTCAAGTTAAGAATAAAAGCTCCCAGTTGCTTTGAAGTTTGAACTCAGTTTCAGGGAAAGAAATATTTTATCATTAATTTCATATTTTGGGGGCAATTTATCTTAAGAATATTTGGCGTTTTGGTCGAGTCTTTTTTTTTTTTGTCTTTGGAGGTGAAATGCTGATAAGGGAGGTGAAAGTGATCCAGGAATGTGACTAAAACTTGTTGTCTGATTGGTAACCAAAATTTTAGTGTGCACTAGAGAAAGGAAAACAAATTAACAAAAAGACTAGCACCAAGTTCATGGTGGGTCTTTAATATATGAAGAAACAACACTTTTCAATCGGTTTTCTCCGGCCCAGATTTTCCCTTTTTTGACCGTTTTCTTCTTCTCTTTGGTGTACCTTCTTTCTTTTCCTGTAAACCAAAAACAAACAATCCAACTGTTAACTTCCCAACATTTCACTACACCCCCACATTCTTTGTATAAGTCTCTTGTCTCACCTTTTCTGCACTAGATTTCGTTTCCGTTTTGGATATGGATCTAGCTTTCTCGCTACTGCTCTCCTTCTTTTTCTTCATACATGAAAGTGGGTTTGGTCCCTGCAGAGTTTCGAGACAACTATGTTACTTTCTCCACTGCTACTTCATCTAAAGACGCGTAATACAATGGAATAACAACCAATGCTAACAATTACCTTTGCTCTTTTTCGCTTGAATTGAGGTCTATCCATCACACCGAGTCCATTTCTTGTTGAAACTACTCGAGGCGTTTCCCATTGTTCATATTCACTTGTTCCTTCCTCTTTATTAGAAGCTAAGATCCTCGCAGTCTGTTTCTCCAACATCTTTTTTTCTCTCTCGGTCATATTTAACCGCTTTTTCTCAGAGCTATTGGCAGTCTGACGTTGGAATTCAGAAGGTTGATCGATCAGCAGAATGTTCCTTAATCCAAACACAAGAGGAACGATAGACTCCTGAAAATAGTAGAGGGATTTACAAACGGTGGATCATTGTATTAAGAAAAACCAAAATTCTCAGAGAAAATCCATCCGAAAAAAAAAACTCTGCTCATCAAACTAACCTGTTGAAGTTTTTTCCTAAACTCGGCGTCCTGGGTACCGAGAAAGAAATGCTCGGAATTCTTGTTCCCAATAACCTCTGACAGACACTCGGTTGCTGTTTTTGTCTCCTCATGCTCACATCTAAGAACTCAAATTAAACCAAATCAGTAGCATAATATTATCCAAAATCCAGGTATGGAAACTAAAAAACATCTATACATTAAGCTCATCAAACCAGTCATACAAATCAATTGCATATACACTATCCAAAAGCCATGCCTAGAACACAAAACTCATTATACAAAACACAATCGCCCAAACAATATCAAAATCAAATCCTGCGACACCAACAAATTCATACACAATCTCCTCAGGAACATTCAAAACAAAGTAAATGGAGAACAAGGAAGCTTACGTCGCTGTGCTAAGCATCTGGGCAGCCTCTAGAGATTCCGAAAAATCGTTACCCAGTTTCTGCAACTCCGCAAGCACACATCTACTCAGCCGAAAAGCATCACAAGAATTCAGTAAATTGATTTGAACTCGT